TAGAAGGATAAGGGATTCCTGGAGATCAAATGCCTTCAGGTGAAATTAATTCTTAAGCACAGGCAGAGAGAGTGGTATATTTCAGGTGGCGTGTCCTGGTTGGTCCCTAACAACACATAAAATTCATTTCTTTGTATTGTTATCATCTCTAGCACAGTGCCAAGCAGAGAGTATGTTTTCAGTAAATGTTTATTCACTAAAGGACTGCAGAGTTGCAGAACAACCTAGTCAAAGACCATAGAGGGCATCCGAATGCCTTGAGGGAGCTCCTGGACAATGCCCAGCATCATAGAAAGGGGACCCAGAAACCTGTCAAAAGTCTTGCACAATTTCTTCTCACATAAAAATGGTGCAAAGAAATGTTATGGATGAGAACAAAGGAAAAAAAATTCTTAGTCTGAGTGTCTGATATATCAGGGAGATTTCATGAGGAGTTCACACTGATTTTGGATTTTACAAAATGAATAGGGATTCTTCATGGGAGAGACGGGAAAAGGGAGTTTCCAAGTGGGAAAATGCAGTGGGCAAAGGCATGTGAGTACAAAGAGCACATGTCATTAAAAAAGGGGAAATACCCCTGACCGGTTTGGCTCAGCGGTTGGAGCATGGGCCGCAGACCAGAGAGACCTGAGTTTGGTTCCCGCTAAGGGCACGTGCCTGTGTTGCAGTTTGTCCCTGTCCCGGTTGGGGTCGTGTGGGTGGCAACCAGTTGATGTGTCTCTCTCACATTGATGTTCCTCTCTCTTTCTTCCTCCTTCTCTCCCTCCTGCTCTGTCTGAAGATGAACGCAATAATGTCCTCGGGTGAGGGTAAAAAGAAGGGGGGGGGGGACTAATGTAATTGATTGCATTTAACTATGTGAGGTGGACTAGCTAAGAGTGATACTGGAAGGGTAAAGCAAAGATTATTCTCAGGGCTCTAACCTGGACCTGGCTGTTGTTCAGAGGTGTTGGGAAGCTGCTACGCTACAGGGTTCTGAGCTGCAAAGAGCGAATGTGAGTTTTACATCAGTATGAACTCGGCATTAACTTACATTTCCAGTGGGGTAGATTGGAGATGACAGAACTACACAGCAGCCAGACGGCTGGGAATATGACACAGGAGCTCAGAAATAACGTTAGGCATCAAGATAAGCAGATGAGATTTATCACAACAATGGTGTTGGTGGAAATGAAAGTATTCCAGTGTATGATCATTCCAGTGTTTACCTTCATTTCTTCTCCCCCTTTTTTTCCTTCACAATACTGGGGTCCTCAGGGTAGGAACTCTTACTCCTGTTTGTTTTCCAGCTCCACAGGCTGTGAGCTCAGTAAATATTAGCTGAAGAAACAGAATATGCAGAGAAAAAAGACACTTTTCTCAGAGAGGTGGTAAGGGCAAAATATTTGAGACTGAAGAAGTTTACATAATGAAGAAGGAATGGACATTTGGTTGGATGGCTTCAGATCTTTTATGAAAGCATTTAATGGGTTGCAGAGCATGACGTGATTGAGGATGGGGTTGAGGGCTTGAGCTGAAGTGAAACAATGTAAAACAGCTGGAGCCAAAAAAGAGCGGAGAGCGGGGGTGGAGGGGGGCGGGGCTTTAGAGAGACAGAGCCCCGCGTGCGTCTCGGACCCGGAGCGGCCCCAGGTCTCCGCTAACCGGCTCCCCGTCCCCTGCGCCGCCGTGACCGCGCAGGCCCGCGAGGGGGCGCCGCGGAGTTTCCACCCTTCGCAGAAGACCCGGCAGCCAGCGCTGGCTCCAGGCCACCCACGACCACTACCCGCGCCGCGCGGTTCCTCTTCCAGCCACAGCTCCGTGGAAGGGCTAGGTACCCCGGGGAAACCATCCCCCGCCCGCCTGGGCTCCCTAAGGCCGACACGGGTCGCTCGCGTTCGTGGCCGCGGTGTTGGGGTCCCCAGAGCACTCGGAATCCCGCAGGCCTCCAGCAGCACGTCACCGGCGGCCAGGCTCAGGAAGCCACGAGGCAGCAGCCGGAGGCCAGCCCGGCAAAGACAGCGCCGGGCCCCATCTTGCGTGGCCCCCACGAGCCACCAGACTTCCAGAGGCGCTAGGCCCTCTTGAGCTCCCCACCCCACAGACAGGCTGGCTGCAAGCAGAAGCAGTGGGTTCTTTTACAATGTATCAAAACAGCAAAACACCAAAAAGGAAGTTGAGAGCCACAAGCGAGCCTTTCTGACACCCCGTCACCATGTGCCTTGCACCAAGTGCAAAATAAACAAGCAGCCAGAAAAGAAAAAAAGAAAAGTAAAATAAATAAAACAGCTGCATTCAGAAATGTGCTCCACAGATTCCCACGTACTTGTGTGCCTATTTTTTAGTGCCCTTCTGTGTATCTGGAATCCTCCCTCCACCTTTTCTCCCTGCCTTTGAAAGTCGACTCATCTTTCAAAGCCTAACTCCAAAGCCACCGGCTTTTCTGGGACATTCTCTCAGACACTAATCATTCCTTTTTCTGTGTCTGCACTTCTCTCCCTGTTAATCCGGTTATATTAGGAATTACTTGAAGACAGGAAGAGGGTTTTACTCATCTGAATAGCCTCTTCTTGACCTGATGGGAAGCACTCATTCCATAAATGTTTGCAGATTTTAAATTAAATGAGTTTAAGAATATGACGCTAAGTGGCAGGATGAAACTGAAGTTAAATAGCTGGAGGTCTTGGTGGACTAGATCAGCACGGTTTTTGTGAGTAACAAGAGTGAGGTGACGGACCAAGAGCACCAGGAAAGGGTTCAAGAAGGAAAGGTTGTGATGCAGACAGATGAAAATTCAGTGAAAACCAAGACTATTTTTTTCTGTGGAAAATCTAAACTTTGGTCCCCCACCTGGGAGAACAAAGACATGAAGCTCATTTGTATTTTATGAAAGGAAAAGACACAATTTTCCCCACCTAATGTACTAAACTGCAGTGAAATAAAAAAAGGAAAGCTAAACAATGAAGCCCTCAATATCAGACCTGAATTTTTTTTAAATTTTATTAAATTGTTTTTTTAAAATGTATTGAATTTTTGGGGGGTGACCTTAGTTAATAAAATTATGTCTTAAGTGTAATTTTATAATATATCATCTGTATATTGTATTGTGTGTTCACCACTCAAAGTCAAGCCTCCTTCCATCACTATTTATTCCCCTGTGAATTTGTTTTTGTCAGTTACACTTGACATTCAATACAGACTTGAATTTTAACCATTAATTTCTACTCCTTACTTCTCTAATCCCTTCAACTGGACTCTAAACTTTTGTAAGAACAAAACAAGTGGATTTTTTTTTTTACTTTTTCTCTTTCATTTTCACTTTCTGAAAGAGAAGTTAATGAATAGTGGAATACAGATAAGAAAAGGAAAGGGAGAGAGATAACTGGTATACCAGAACAATGAGCTAGATGGCTTTAGATGGATATGTTCAACTTGGGTTCTGCTACGTGTCTGTGAAATGGAGACAATGATTACTTAGAAAAATTGTGTGAGAAATAAACTAGATGTAAAAGCACCTAACACAAGGAGTATAGGGTCCTTTGAGTACATTGCAAGTAGGTGGTAGAATATGCAAACGTTAAAAAGGGTATGCAGCCCTGGCCAGTTTGGCTCAGCGGTTGGAGCATTGGCCTGCGGACCAGAGAGTCCCGGGTTCAGTTCCCACTAGGGGCACGTACAAAAAAAAAAAGGGTATGCAAGCCCTGGCCAGGTAGCTCAGTTGGTTAGAGCACCATCCAGATATGTCAAGGTTGTGGGTTGGATCCCTGGTCAAGGCACATACAAGAATCAACCAATGAATGCATAAATGTGTGAAACAACAAGTTAATGTTTCTCTTTCTCTTTCTTCCTCTCTCTCTCTAAAAATACATTAATTAATGCCCTGGCCAGTTTGGCTCAGCGGTTGAGCGTCAGCCTGCAGACCAGAGAGTCCTGGGTTCGGTTTCTGCTAGGGGCATGTATTACAAGAAAAAAATAATAATAAAAATATAAATAAATTAATTAATTAAAAATATTGTATTACGCCCTGCCGGTTTGGTTCAGCGGTTAGAGCGCTGGCCTGCGGTCTGGAGGGACCTGGGTTCGGTTCTCGCTAAGGGCACGTACCTTGGTTGCGGTTTGTCCCCGCCCCTGGTTGGGTCGTGCGGGTGGCAACCACTCGATGTGTCCCTTTCACATTGATGTTTCTTTCTCTCTCTCTCTCTCTCCCTCCCTCTCACTCTATCTGAACAAAATATCAAAAAAAAATGTCCTCGGGTGAGGATAAAAAAAAAAAAAAAAAGTATTAAAAAAAGGAAGAAAGTTCCCTACACTAAAACTTTAAAAAAGGCATGGGGGCAATTCCCAGTTAGGGTGTATGCAAGAGTCAGCCAACTGATGTTTCTCTCTCCCTTCCTCTCTAAAATCAGTTAGTATAAAAAAGTGGGTATGCAAAAGTTAAAAAGGGGAAAGTATGTCTTTCCACCCTTAATCCTCTATTCTCTCAGTTCTCCTCACTCTTTTTTTTTTTTTTTAGAGTCAGTTCTTAATACCATTATGTGTACTTACTGTGCATTTCCTACTTTCCTTGACTTAGCTGTAATGATGTAACTCAAATCTAAAATCCCTTACCTATAAAATGAATGGCTCTCAGCATTTAACAATGACTATTTTATAATTAAAATGCTACACAAATACGAGGTGTTATTCTTTTTTTTAATATATATTTTTTATTTTTATTTTTATTTTTTTTGGTATGTGCCCCTAGAGGGAACTGAACCTGGGACTCTCTGGTCCGCAGGCCTATGCTCCAACCGCTGAGCCAAACCAGCCAGGGGATGAGGTGTTACTATTCTTAAAAGGAAAAACAAGGCCTAGACATTGTATTTTTAACTTTATTTAAACAGAGGTCTCTTGGGCCCTTAGAATCAGCCCCAGGCTTGACTGCTTTGTTCCACTGGAATATTCCCATTCCTCATCTTAACATCAGCAGGAGAGGGAGGCTGAGACCACACTGCTTGACCCTGCCTTGGTCTATCCCACAGGTAATCACTTACTCCAGCCATCATGTCTACAATAACTTGACTGAGGAACAGAAGGGCCGAGTGGCCTTTGCTTCCAATTTCCTGGCAGGAGATGCTTCCTTGCAGATTGAGCCTCTGAAGCCCAGTGATGAGGGCCGGTACACCTGCAAGGTGAAGAATTCAGGGCACTATGTGTGGAACTATGTCATCTTAAAAGTCTTAGGTAAGATACAGTGCCAAGGTAAATGTCTACATCTTGTTAATAAAGTCTGGGCATAGGACAGCCAAATGCATCATGGTGCTACAAAACTTCTCGTTCAGTACTTTTTGTTCAACTTGAATTTATTGGGATGACATCAGTTAATAAAATTATATAGGTTTCAGGTGTACAATTCTATAATACATTATCTGTATATTGTATTGTGTGTTCACCACCCAAGATGTTCAGTACTTTGGATTATACATTCAGATGTCACCTACTCCAGTTCCCTGGGAAGACGTATGTTCTGTATTTTAGCCATAATAAAAGAAAACAAAATAATCACAATTTTCTATGGTAGCCCATTAAAAAATTAAATATTATCTAATATTTTAATGGTATCCTTATATTTAACTTAAATCTCTCAGATATGATTTAAATCCATTTGTTTTTTAACAGATGGAGCTACTAAGTTCTATTTAGTATCTTGCAAACAAATGAACTTCTAAACTTTCTTAAAATTTCCAATGAAACGTGTTTCTTCTTTGAAAATGATGTAGTTTCTAAGGCAGCCTCTGAGAATTACAGCAACACCACTGCAAGCAGCTGGTCTTGGGTGTATGCGTGTACAAGGGACACAGACAGGTGTATTTCTGGGGGTGATATAACACACGGCTAGGTAACTAGGTAAAGGCTCGGGGTGCCCGCTCAAAGGTTAACCAGAAAGATGGCTGGAAAAACTACTCAACAGGACATCGTTTTTCCATTGAATTACTGTTTGGGGATCTTTGAATTGGTACTTCTTTTTTTCTTGCCAGTGAGGCCGTCAAAGCCCAAGTGTGAGCTGGAAGGAGAACTGACAGAAGGAAGTGACCTGACTTTGCAGTGTGAGTCATCCTCCGGCACAAAGCCCATTGAGTATCACTGGCAGCGGATCCAGGAGAAGGAGGGGGAGGAGGAACATCTGCCTCCAAAATCTAAGATTGGTAAGTCATCTTTCTACCAGTCTATTGAGACAGCAGGGCAGTACCCTAGTCGTGAATTCTAAATCTGGTTTGGACAGCAACTCACCACCTCGAATACACTACTGAATCTCTTTGAACTTCCATTTTTCATCCATAAACTGGGACTGTTTCTTGTTTCCTCAAATGGATGGTAAAAATGGTAGAAGATGTTAGAAAGATATGGACCATATAAACCCATTATAGCCCTGGCCAGTTTGGCTCAGTGGTTAGAACGTTAGCCCACAGAACAGTGAGTCATGGGTTCAATCCCGGTGAAGGTCACATACCTTGCTTGGGGTCATGCAGGAGGCAGCCACTCAATGTGTCCCTTTCACATCAATGTTTCTCTCTTTTTCCTCTCTCCTCCTCCCAGTCTATCAGAACAGAAATGGAAAAAAAGAAAAAATAAACCCATTATATCTAATTACCTTGGTTAGTATCCCTTAATGTTCACAACCTTTTGTAACTTTCGAGGATTCACTGTCATTTAAAAGAATGTTCACCTTTCTTCCCACGTTCCAATGTGGGATCTGTGCTATCATTTATCTCATCCTTACCAAACGGCATTAGAGGCTCTTTGGTCAGTGAGATAATGCAGTAAACAATAAACACAGGCTCTGCCGCAGGGAATCAGCATTGTTTCTGCTTGTGCAGACCACAACCACCCAGGGCGCGTTCTGCTGCAGAATCTCACCATGTCCTCCTCCGGACTCTACCAGTGCACGGCAGGCAACGAGGCTGGGAAGGAGAGCTGCGTGGTGCGAGTCACTGTGCAGTGTAAGTATCCAAGGGTATGTTTGTTTTTCTCTTTGCATTGTGGTTCAGTGTAAAACATGTTTAATCATAAGTAAAAGTGAGGTCAAGGTAAAAATCTTCATTTCCAGAAGAATATGGCTATCACTAAAATAAATTCAGTAGTTGCAAGAACCATTCATCAGTTGTAATTAACTCTATAATTACAATTATGCATGAAATTACCAGCTCCCTAAAGAAATGTATTATATCTGGGAGGGAAGCAAATGGAGAGATCCTTTATAAATGTAAATTTCCCTCAAAAAAAGGTAACTTCTGTTTTCAGAGCTTTTCCTGTGTCTGCAGTTTCTCAAAAATAATCAGCTTAAAATAATCTTAAAGAGGCATATTTTGGGGTGGCAGATTCTACTACCCTTCAACATCAGTTAGGTAGTCATACACCAAGAGAGGGTAAATGGTGTGAACTCAGGAAGACATAAAGATCTGGAAATATCCTGTCCAGGGCTTATGTTTTTTAAGTTCATGCATTTCCAGGCTTATGTTTCATTTTATTTCTGCTTTTGTCTCTGAGAAAACAGATGTACAAAGCATTGGCATGATCGCAGGAGCAGTGACAGGCATGGTAGCTGGCGTGCTGTTGATTTTCCTCTTGGTGTGGCTGTTAGTTCGAAGGAAGGACAAAAAGAGATACGAAGAAGAAGACAGACCTAATGAAATTCGGTAAGCCTCCCTCCAAAATCTCCTCTTCCACTAGGCTTCCTTTCCATAGGGCCAGTTCCATAGTGACCAGCCGACACAGGTATCCCTTTCTCTTAACCAGGAATCTGTTCGAAGGATGATTCTGGTAGGTAAGGAGTCCCATCCCAGGACCAAGTCCTGGCTTACCTTGACTTTATAGTGAAACCATGTATCCTCAACAGAGATGTGAGAAAGAACTTCACATCACTTCTGATTCACTTCTCCTTAGAAAGGGCATCAGGCATAACCTCTGGGCTACAAAAGGGTTTCCATAGACAACCCCCAAATCAAGGGGAGTGTAGTCTAGACCATCTCAAAGGTGAGTGGATACTCTCCCAGATAAGAGGTGATCTCTGAGCTAACAAAGGTTACATTTGCCTAAGCCAAACATTAAGCCTCAGAAAATGGGGATGTCCCTATTTCCCTAAATGACTGCCTTCCAATAGTGTTACAAATTGTTTACGGGCTTGAAGAATTTATTAGGAAACCTCAGAAGGAAGCAACCATAAAGAAAATGATCACAGTCTCGCTAGCATTACATTTTATCGTTGCTGTTTTTCTCTGCAGAGAAGATGCTGAAGCCCCGAAAGCCCGCCTTGTGAAACCCGGTTCCTCTTCCTCAGGCTCTCAGAGCTCACATTCTGGCTCCTCCTCCACTCGCTCCACAGCGAACAGTGCCTCACGCAGCCAACGGACACTGTCCACCGAAGCAGCACCCCAGCCAGGGCTGGCCACCCGTGTGCACAGCCTAATGGGGCCAGAGGCAAGACGTTCTGAACCAAAGAAAGTCCACCATGCTACCTTGAACAAAGCAGAAACCACACCCAGCATGATCCCCAGCCAGAGCCAACCCTTCCAAACTGTCTAAATTACAGTGGACTTTGACTCCTCCCGTGCTTTCCTTGGAGTCAGAATCTTAGGACTTTTCTAGTCACTATAGTTCAGTCACCAGCCACACAATCCCCTCGAATCATGAGAGTTCACTTACGTAGCAGGGAGCACTGCATGGGACAGATTCAAGTGAGCACTCTCCTTATGACACCAAACAAGAAAAAGGATGTAAGCTGATCATCTCCAAAAAGGTTTCAGACAAGAGGGGGGAAGTAGAGGTCTAAATCTGTGTATTTGTTAACCAGGACCTGTGGTGAGAAAGGCTGAGGAAAGGGGACATGAACCCACGTAAAACTTCTCACCTGAGATGTTTGTATCAATACTTCAATTCACAATTGTCAAGAAGAAATGAGGTGTTTTTCATAAATCTTCTATGCCTTTCTGCAGACCTACTGGATTCTTGGTTATGCAGAGTCAAGCAGAAACCACAGCCTTATATTACCCCCTTCTGCACTATGTACTGGATTACTGCTTCTGAGAAACTCCAAAAAGGGAATCATCTTTTATTCTGTCTTGACCTCATCTACCGTAAAATTTGGATATTAATTTCAAGAGGAAATGAAGTAATGGGAGATGGAGAAGAATAATTGAGTTTCTCCCACTCTCTCCAGCACTAATTTTCCTCTGCTTATACTGAACCATAAGAGAACTAAAAAGGAGTTCAAAATGTGTGACAAGGGACTGTGAACACATCTTTCATCTAATGATGTTCAGTGGGTTACTGACAAATATCAGAAATGTATACTGAAAAACGGTGGGTTTTTCCTCAAATCAGATGTCTCTAAGGACGTCCCTGCTGGATCTCTCCAGAGCAAGAAAACATTCACTACATGTCATTTAACAAGGTCCTTAGAAAGAACTCTTACAGCAAAAATGAGATCTTTTACAAGCTGAAAGATCATCTGACATACCATTATAGTTTTTCTGAGAACATACAAAACCAGACTTTCAAGACTGACTAGACTAGAAAGGGAGATGAGATCAATTTTCTTAATGTCACAGAACAGTTTAAGGAAGTTTAGAATTGTACCAAACTTGGAGCATTCTCTATTTGTTTCATTTTAGGAAAAGGATGTGAAACTGGGAGTTTTGATGATTCTAGGCCTTAAATTACAAGAAAGATCAGGGATTGCCAACATTTCCTAATGACATTGCAAATATGGCAAAATCATTCCTGCCTGAGAAGCTGAGACAGAGAGAAGTTCAGTATTTTACCAGTTTAGCCTCTAAGAAATCTAGCTCTGAGCTACAAGGAAATGGAATTAACATTAAGGGAAGAGATAGTAGGGATATGCAGTGAGTGGCAGGAGAGGTCTGGGTTAATGCCTGTTAACATTTTGTCAGCATCTTGGAAAGAATGAGCAGAAATGAATCATCAGGATAGCTCTCAGAAGAGCTGATTCATGGTAGAGGAAAAAGGCCTAAGAAATTAAACAAAAACAAACAGCAGCCTCCAATAAAATAACTTGCCCTTCTAATAGTTTTGACTACTCTGCTACTCAAATTCATCCTATGCAGGAATTCAAAACCTGAAGTAGCCCTTTGACGCTAGTGCAAATGTCAACAGATCACTGGTAGAGCAAGAGATTTATTATTAAAGGGCAGCAGGCTAGAGAAAAGAAAAAGTAGCGCTGAATCCAAATCTTACGGTGAACGCACTGCTTCCAAACCAGATGCTCAAAGGGAAGAGGCTGACCTGGGATTGTGCCCCTGGTTCATTTCTATTTGATTCTCACAAGTGTCCTCACATGGTGCAAGTGCATTCCTTCTACAGCCCTTTATGAAATAGGGGTTTACCCTTGGGTTAGTTTTTATCTAGCTTTTCTACTCTAAAAAAAGTTAAGAAATAAGAGACACTGAGGAGGTAGTGTAAAGAATGTCTGGTGTTAGTTTAACTTAAAAGGGCTAGCAAATTTGGAATATTTCTTGTACTGACACTGCTTCACTATAAGATATAAAATCCCTTATTTTACTTTTTCATTCTGCTAGCAGTGGTATCCAGCAACATATCATTTCTGCTATCTAATATGAGAGCCCCATGCTCAGAGTACCTGAGCCAAATGACACTGTGGAGGCTGCAGCTCCACCATCACTAACAATGTTGCCGGATCATTATTTCCTACCTTTGAGCCTAAAGTTTCCTGCCCATGCCTTTGCAAGTATGAATCAGTCCCGTCTGCATGAAAAGGATATTTAGGTTATTTAAACATGTAGTTATCAGAGCCCTCGCCAGTTTGGCTCAGGGATTAGAGCACTGGCCCTTGGACCGAAGGGTCGTGGGTTCGATATCTAATCAAGGGCATGTACCTGGGTTGCAGGTTCAGTCCTTGGCCTCAGTCAGGGTTGTGCGGGAGGCAACCAATCGATGTGTCTCTCTCACATCAATGTCTCTCTCTTTCTCCCCCTTCCTCCCTTCCAGTCTATCTGAAAATCAATGCAAAAATATCCTTGGTTGAGATTAACAAAAACAAACAACAAAAAAAACCATAGTTATCAGAAGATGAAAACACCAGTTGAATGAACCAGATTCTTTTGGAAATCTAGTCACACTGGAAATCTACAAAGAAGTCACAAAACTGATCACTACCTAAAATCTGAGAAATCTAGGGCCTGAAGATTCTGAGAGATAAGGTGGTGAGGTCTTAGCAATGATAGTGCACTTCTGTTTGAGCCAGGCTTTTGGGTTCAGATATGACAGGCTCTGGGCTTAAGATAAAGTCTGAGCCACTATTGTTTTCAAACCACATTCCATTAATTTTGCAAGTCAAATAAATTTGATTCTTGAATATGAAACAAAGGATAAAATCACTAAACAGAAGAAAAACATGTTAGAAGATACAGACAGAATGATGTGAATGTTTAGAAAATAACCCTTTCAATAAAATATATAAACCAAACTTAAAATTGTAAAATAGTGAAGTTGATGCCTTTGTTGTTACACTGTATAAAAACAATTTCAGAATTGCTGTTGCAAAAAAAGACATAATTTTGCTTCCTTTCTGTTAATACTTCAGTCTTAATTTCTAAGTTGCCTTGTAATCAGAACTTGGATCACAAAAACCAAATATTTATAACAGATGCATCTGTATCAGCAATTTAAAAATAAATAAGTAAAGGTGATACTGTAGGAGAGGCTGAAGCTCATATAACCTGCACTGGAAATTTGTTTATTAGCTTTCTGCCAGCTGAAGAGCTGAAGAACTCAGACTGAACATGATCTATTATTTATTGATTTCAGTCACAAATATACCAAGTACGTTTTTCTCACAAGGCAAGATGCTAAGTAGTAGTGGAGATACCAAGTGATGATAGAGGTTCATGCTAGAGTTCCTGCCCTTAAGTACTTGATCAAAATAACAGTCTATTTACTAAGAACGAATTTTATGCAAGATAGAGTACCAACAGAAAAGTAAACGCTAAGGGATTCAAATAAATCTGAAGAAAACTTGGCAGACTTAAATGAGGTAATATGCACAAAGCATTGAGAACAGTGCTTGACACGTGACAGGCATTCAAACATGTTAATCACAACCCCTTTCCCTGGTCAGAAACCCTAGGCCTCAGACTCCTCCACAGCCACCCACACTTTAATTTTAAACACTGAATGTGTTTGAAACCCTGTGCATTTAGAGGTGGAGACAGGACATTAATCCTATCCTGAACTTTAAGTATGTACATTCTGAATCATTCCATTTCCTAAGAACACAGTCCAAGTCCTAGAACTAATTTTGAGAGTGACCAGAAACGGAGTTTTATCTGCTCTGCTTTCTGTAAGCACTGCTGTTCGGTGGATACTCCAAACCAGTAGCTTTGGGGCCCAAGTCTATTTTCCACTGGCTCAATGGTTGAAATGCTGTAGGTAGTACAGAGGTCAGTTACAAAAGCTGCAAAATATAGGGTGTAGTTCAGAGATTGTACTTAATAAACTGGGTGGGAAGAGGAGATTGCAGGTTCCAAAGAAAACCGAAAGGAGCTGCCAGAGCACATGTCTTCCTTTTTCCGAGTCTGAGTTACTACCGCGTTTCTAGAAGTCACCCTACAGTGTAACTAAGAAAAAGGACCCAAGACTCTGGCATCAGGGGGGCTAGGTTTGACTGTAGCTCGGCTAGTTGTTTATCCCCCACAAATAACATCTCTGAACCTCATTTTCCTCCTAACACAGGAGTGAATAATATTATCTCATAAATTGTTTTGATTAAATGAGGTAGTAAATGAGAGCATCACCTTGTCAAAGCAACATGAAAATTTAACTTCTTGGGAGGTGGGGACATGGGATTAAGCCAACATTCCCTCCACAAAACGCAAATGTGGGGAAAAAAGGACGTCTGATGTGTCCCCAGGCTTTCCGGGCTTGTCAAGGGCACGGTGCCCTCCGGCCTGAAGGGACCGGAAGGCATTCGGGCGCCCGGACGGGCCCAAGTGGCCGCCACTGCAGATGCTACAGGCCCTGCGGCGGGTGGGCCACGCGCAGGGCGCCTGCGCCGCACCCCGCGTTTGCTAACAGCCAGAGCAGGGAAGACACTGCCTCGCCGAACGAGAGGCTCCGAGTGGAACCCGAGGAGCGGGAACCGGGCTCCTAGCGCCCGGCGGCCCACGCGGGGAAAGCCCGCTGCCTTTCCCAAACGCCGAGGGGCCGGCCCGGCCGCCCAAGCTGTTCGGCGGGAGCTGGGGGTGGCGCGGGGCCCGGGCTCGGGGAGGCCAGGCCAGGCCAGGGCCGGCCCGCGGCGGGCTCCACACGTCCGGCCCCCCACACCCCGCAGGGGCTGCCAGCCCGCGGCGGCCTGGGTGCCCCTGTAGGGCCCCCGGGCAGCGCCCGAGGTCGGAACCGGCCGCGGGGCAGCCCTCGCCGAAGGCGCGCCAGCTACGGCCCGTGAGTCCGCGGGAGCGGGGAGGGCCCGGGTGGGGGAGGGCGCGACAGCCTCCGCAGCCATTTTGACCCAGTCAGCTGCCGGCTTCCCCGGGCTGCCCGCCCGCGGCCCTCCCTGCGAGCCCCGGCCTGTCCTTCCCGGTACCGCCCGTGCCAGTGCCGCCGCCATTGGTGGGTCCCACGTTCGCCCGCCCTCCTCCTCCCCCTCCCGCCGCCGCCGCCCGCGCTCTAGGGGCCGCATGCGCAGGAGCAGACGCGCCCTTCCCGGCCCCGGTGACTGAGGACTCCCGCGCGCGGGCTCCCCAGGCCCCACCCGCCCTTTCCCGGGGCCGTTCGGAGAGCGGGGGCGAGGATGAAAGTTCCAGAACGCTGCGGCGAGTGCGTCATCGCGGCGCAGTGGGGCGGGGCGGAGGGGCGAGGCCCGGGGCAGAGCCGGCTTCCTCATTGGTGCTTGCGGAGGCCGCCGCGCGCCCATTGGCCGCGAAGGCCTTGATGGGCAGCCGGCAGGGTGGGCCCCTTCTGGAAGGTTCTGAGGCAGGCTATAAGAGGCAGGGCGGCGGGCGGAAACCGGTCTCATTGAACACAGGGGCACTGTTCTGCTCGGTCGCCAGGAAGCGGTGCTTACACTCAAGGTAAGGCCTCTGCCCTTGGAGCCCTGGGTAGTTCGCCAGGGGGCCGTGCGGCCCGGCCCAGGCTGCACGGCGGCCCCCGTGGGCCGTGTGCGGGAAGCCATCTGCTTGGTCGCGGGGCTTGTGCCAGGCGGGAGGCAGCGCTGCGGACTGCAGTGGGTGGAGAAGCGGGCAGGCCGGGGCGCTGGCCGGGAGCTGGCAGCCGCCTGCCCGCCCGCTCGGAGGGGGAGGGGAGGGCAGGGCCGCACCCGCCTTCCGGCGCGGGGACTGGGGCGCCGCGCAGCTGTCCGCTGGCGCCCCGGGCCCTGCTCGGGGTTCCTCCGGGGCTCTGCACAGCGGCCGCCGCTGGCATGCGCCCAGGGTGGAGGAGGGGCTCCCGGGGGCACTGGGAGTTCAGGCCCTGCTGGCTTCCGGAGGGCGTGGGAGGGCACACGAGGCCGCCTGGGCTTTGAGGCCACGTGGTCCGGGGCGACCGGCCCTCCAGGCGGTGCTCCCCTAAGCCCGGGGCGGGCGCTGCCGCGTTTGGCACTGGCAACCCGGCTGCAGTGTTACCGGGTTACCGCCTGCGAGGGCCGTGTTCGAGGAGTTGCTGCGTGGTCAGGCCTGGGGGTCTGCCTTCACGGTTAACAAAGGAAACATTTGTAAATGCTTTAATTTTCGTTTTTTCTAGCAACCATGTCTAAGGGACCTGCAGTTGGCATTGATCTTGGCACCACCTACTCTTGTGTGGGTGTATTTCAGCACGGAAAAGTGGAAATAATTGCCAACGATCAGGGAAACCGAACCACCCCAAGTTATGTTGCCTTTACTGATACCGAACGATTGATCGGTGATGCTGCAAAGAATCAAGTTGCAATGAATCCTACCAACACAGTTTTTGGTAAGTCCCTGACTTAAAATCGTGGCATGAACTAAGCTAGGCTTGGAAGCATGTAGTTTGAAAAACTCAAGTTTAAATTGAAGTGTGGCAGCCAGGAATGCCCTTAAGAATTGGCAAAGTCACTTAAAAGTCTTAAACGAACTAGACTTTTGTAACTGCTTGGGCCAATAATTTGAGGTATCTTAGGATATAAGGAAAACTTGGATGAACTTGACTGGCCACACAGAAGTCGAAATCCTTTAATATGAACTTGTGATAAGTATCGGTCTTAGTATTTGAGTAATGGAGACCTAGGGTAATTGAAAAGATGTGTAAGGAAATAAAAGATTTGGATTTGCATTTGGTATCTTTTGCAGACGCCAAGCGCTTGATTGGACGTAGATTTGACGATGCCGTTGTCCAATCTGATATGAAACATTGGCCCTTCATGGTGGTGAATGATGCTGGCAGGCCCAAAGTCCAAGTAGAATACAAGGGAGAGACAAAAAGTTTCTATCCCGAAGAGGTGTCATCTATGGTTTTGACAAAGATGAAGGAAATCGCAGAAGCCTACCTTGGGAAGGTGAGTACAATGTGTTACAGAGAGAAGGCACAGTTGACTATTGCAACACTACATATTTACATCTCTTGATGAGTATGGTTAGGTTGGGTTTTAATTGACCAAAGTAGACAGAAGTATAGTTACCAGTAACTGACCTGTTTATATTTTCACCAGAATGTTTTCTGTAATTTGAGTGGATAGGACTACCAATGTGTTTATGAGCTGACTACAGTAGTTTGTCTTTAATTTTTTTTCTATTCTTAGACTGTTACCAATGCTGTTGTCACAGTACCTGCTTACTTCAATGACTCTCAGCGCCAGGCTACCAAAGATGCTGGAACTATTGCTGGTCTCAATGTACTTAGAATCATCAATGAGCCAACTGCTGCTGCTATTGCTTATGGCTTAGACAAAAAGGTGGGTATCATTTGTGATGCATAGCTGAATAACTTGAAGATTAAATTTGAGCCTCATTTAAAAAATTGGTTGAGCCATCAGAGATTTAGATAATACGTAATCTTTATTCTAACGGCAGGTTGGAGCTGAAAGGAACGTGCTGATCTTTGACTTGGGAGGTGGCACTTTCGATGTGTCAATTCTCACAATTGAAGATGGAATCTTTGAGGTCAAATCTACAGCTGGGGACACCCACTTGGGTGGAGAAGATTTTGACAACCGAATGGTCAACCATTTCATTGCAGAGTTCAAACGCAAACATAAGAAGGACATCAGTGAGAACAAGAGGGCTGTCCGCCGTCTTCGTACTGCCTGTGAACGTGCTAAGCGTACTCTATCTTCCAGTACCCAGGCCAGTATTGAGATTGATTCGCTCTATGAAGGAATCGACTTCTATACCTCTATCACCCGTGCCAGATTTGAAGAATTGAATGCTGACCTTTTCCGTGGCACCCTGGACCCTGTAGAGAAAGCCCTTCGGGATGCCAAGCTTGACAAGTCCCAGATCCATGATATTGTCCTGGTGGGTGGTTCTACCCGTATCCCCAAGATTCAGAAACTCCTGCAGGACTTCTTCAATGGAAAAGAGTTGAATAAGAGCATCAATCCAGATGAGGCTGTTGCTTATGGTGCAGGTAATACCTCTATCCTAGTTGAATAGTTCTAATGGGCAGTCTCTTAAGAGAGGCTCAAACTGACTCGCTGTGATGAGTGATTGTTAAACATTCGTAGTTTCCACCAAAAGCTTAGCTAATGATGGCCTAACTTCCTTGGATGTCTGAGCGATTCAAGATTTGTTAATGAGAAATGAGTTGTGTAGCACTTTTGTTTAAAGCTAACTATTTTATTCAGCGGTCCAGGCAGCCATCCTCTCTGGAGACAAATCGGAAAATGTTCAAGATTTGCTGCTGTTGGATGTCACTCCTCTTTCCCTTGGCATTGAGACTGCTGGTGGAGTCATGACTGTCCTCATCAAGCGCAATACTACTATTCCTACCAAGCAGACGCAGACCTTCACCACCTACTCTGACAATCAGCCTGGTGTGCTCATTCAGGTATGTTTCTCTTATTTTGACCTGACATTGGGGAAGATTAGGGCCCGCTATGATGATGGATTCCAAAACCATTCGTAGTTTCCACCAGAAGTCTCATGTTGGCCAACTCCTTCCTTGGATGTCTGAGCGGGTAGTCTTTCTTAATTGAGCTTATACTTAGAACTGGCACAGAAACCTTCTAATTTTCAAGTAATTTGTATTTTCTACTAAGGTTTATGAAGGTGAGCGTGCCATGACCAAGGATAACAACCTGCTTGGCAAGTTTGAACTCACAGGCATACCTCCTGCACCTCGTGGTGTTCCTCAGATTGAAGTCACTTTCGATATTGATGCTAATGGCATCCTCAATGTTTCTGCTGTGGATAAGAGTACAGGAAAAGAGAACAAGATTACCATCACTAATGACAAAGGTAAGTTAAAGCACAATTGTGTGTAAAATGCCATCTGGTCTTAGAGACATGCTTTGTGTCAGGTTGCATGTTCCAAATATTCCTGCCTTCCCTCCCTGAAGGCATTTAGCCAAGATGGGGGGGAAGGGGGAGTGTGGGTTTCAAACATAGGCATTGTCTAAATAACTCCACAGGTCGCCTGAGCAAGGAGGACATTGAGCGCATGGTCCACGAAGCTGAGGAGTACAAAGCTGAAGATGAGAAGCAGTGGAACAAAGTATCTTCCAAGAATTCACTTGAATCCTATGCATTCAACATGAAAGCAACTGTTGAAGATGAAAAGCTCAAGATCAATGATGAGGACAAACAGAAGATTCTTGACAAGTGCAATGAAATTATCAACTGGCTTGACAAGAATCAGGTTTGTAATTTTTTAAACTTGAGAGTGGATGGTGTAGGGCTTTAGTAAGTGCTTACTTAGAAAGGTGTACAAATATGTAGGGTCACAATGATGAATGGTCCAAACATTCGCGGTTTCCACCAGAATTCCAGTTGTGTTGGCAGCTTCCTTCCTTGGATGTCTGAGTGACCTAAGATTTCAAATATATCTTCTGTTACTGGGACAACTGCCTTCTGTGTCTATAGTGTCTTACCAGATTGCTTCAGGCATAAAGCTTCCTTTACTTGAATTTTGGTAGTAAAATATTTTTTTTATTCTCTTCTCAGACTGCAGAAAAGGAAGAATTTGAACATCAGCAGAAAGAATTGGAAAAAGTCTGCAACCCCATCATTACCAAGCTGTACCAGAGTGCAGGAGGCATGCCTGGAGGAATGCCCGGAGGCTTTCCCGGTGGTGGAGCCCCTCCCTCTGGTGGTGCTTCCTCTGGGCCCACTATTGAAGAGGTTGACTAAGCCAACTTTGAGCATAGATTTAGCATTGTTCCACAAAATACCGAAGGACCCAAATTTGTAGCAAATCCAATGGCAGTTTTAAAAGTTGAGTTGCTGTATAGTAAATAACTGGGCATTCTTAATACTTGAATATGGACTATGTGCACAGGGAAGGAAAATAATGCACTTTATAAGCACTATTGTAAAGTGGAAAATGCGATGTCTTAAATAAAACTATTTAAAATTGGCACCATACAATAAAATCTGGCTCCATGTTTTACAAGGGCAGAATTAAGTTTCTGGGGTTGGATTTTTCTGTGGCCCCAAGTATTCACACAACAGAATCTAGGTTGTTCAATACAGATTGTAAATTCCTAAGGAAGGTTTTGAAAGAAAGGAAACGGGGACACTTTTAGTTTGGGCTTTTATAAGGCTTCTAAAGTAATATGTAGTGCTCACTATTGCCCCTGAAATTAAGTTTGAACTACAGCTGCCATAATTGCTTTTCAGGGTTGAGTCAATTCTTGGTGGAAAGGAAGTGTTAGAGAAAAGGTGGGGGGTGGGGGGGGGTGAATTCCACGTGGTGAATACAACTGGCTCAGTGAACAAATCCTGAAAGTTTTTTTAAATTGAGCTTAGAGGTGGAGGCTGATTGTGGACACAGTTCTGTTTACTAAGTCTGTTCTAACTACTGTGGGACAGCCTTTAGGTAAGTCATGCTTAGGAGCAAAGGCCTTAATGGTCCTTAGTTTACTGGGTTATATGTTAGCAAAGGATCAGGTTTTTGTGAAGCACTTTATCCTGATGAGCCTCCACTTCCTCAAGCCTGAACCAAGGTGACTGCTAAACATTTTCATGGCCTAGTGGTGCAGACTTGTCCCCGATGGTCAGTTTAGAAACTTAGTACCCAAACCTAACCTCTGCTTGAACCCTCCTTCCTCTTGTTCCCATGGTTCTTGAGTAAAACCCAACTAGTATCTTATAGACTATAATTTGGTTTCATAAGAACAGTTTCCAATAACCACAATTCTCACCATTAGCCTAGTTTAGTGAGCATAACCAAGGGGCTGCCATTCATTAAACAGCTGCAATGTTTTATGTGTAAATTTTATCATGAGACAAATTGGAGAAAGAAATGGCAGTGTTTCCTTTATGTGGATGGGTGAAAACACATTGCTGGGCTTGTGCAGTAGAAAATAACGGGTTTGGAAGGAGGATGGGAATTAATTTTGTTAATTTTCAGTTAATTGAAAAAGTTTGCAGATAAGGACACTTGTTCAGAGACCTTGAGTAACCTCAATTACACACTGGGGGAGGGGATCCAGGCATTCAAATTGTGGTAAACTTGGCTCCAAACCTGTAGTTTTGCTCCTACGTGGTAGAGTATGAATTAGGAAGTGCCAGCTCCTCTCAACACAGCTTTACTCCAAAACCTGTCTTGTTACCTGGGATTCATGCTTTTTGGGGGAGGAAAAAAATTAGTGCACACCTGCAGTTAGGTACTGAATTTGGTCCCAATACTCATCTTAAGTTTGAGTTCACTTTTATATGTGTCTTCAGTACTTCGGGTACTCAGTTGCGAATCTATCCTTGCAAGTAGAAGCCTAAGCAGTCAGGATTTGAGAAGCACCAGTGATTCAAATCAACTTGTGTTTTTAAAAGGGTTTCTGCTGGGGACTGAACCGTGGTTGGGGGAGTAGACACAAAGCTAGTGAAGATATGTTCCTGCCTCATAAATGTCTACAGCGTAGCAGGAGACTGACACAACATAAATTGGGGACAATTACAAAGTGACGTTAGAACACAAAATAACCTAGTCATTGTGGAAAACCTTGGAAAAAGTATTACAAGTTGTTTATCGGAGAAGCGTAGCAGTGGTTCTCAACCTTCCTAATGCTGGGGACCTTTAATACAGTTCCTCATGTTGTGACCCCCAACCATAAAGTTACTTTTGTTGCTACTTCATAAATCTGATTTTGCTACAGTTATGTCTTAGGTGACCCCTGTGGAAGGGTTGTTCGACCCCCAAGGGGTCACAACCCACAGGTTGAGAACTGCTGGCTTAAAGGGAGATGCCGCAAAGGTGGCCATAGGAACACCAGGCTCCACCCCTTTCCATTCAGTTTAGTGTCAGCAAATGGCTTCCCTTACTTGGCTCTAACAACCTTACATGGGATGCCTAGCTCTGCATGCAGAAATCTATGTAGGGCACGGGAACAGTTTTACTTTGGTGTGAATTCTTGTGGCTGTGAGAGGGAATGCTGTGGCCTAGATGGCTGGTTCTGAAATGTGCACAGGCACTACTGGGTTGGGAAGAGAGCAAAAAATTCATTTCCTCATCCTCCATGTCCATATATCCAGCTTTAAGTTTCTGCTGAATTTATTTAGCAATAACAGGGTTGTCTTTTAAAATGTGTTTTTAGTACCATAGCTTATTTTACCCAACAGTAATTATTACACTTTTAAACTATTAAGGAAATAACATCTTTAAAGCCACAGCAATACTGTTACTACTAACAGTATTACTGTACTATTTGTGTACTTAGAATGTAAAGAACTAAATTAGATAATGCCTTCAAACAATCCTTTTCTCAAACCATATTTATTCGAGTACCTAAAATGTTCTAGGACCTGTGCTTTCATAGTAAAAAGTAATCGGGGTTTTGTTAACGTGGATAGTGACTAGTGAGGTATAAATAGGAAAGTGAGAATTTTCTTTTCTTTGGTCTGTGGTGTATGTAAGGACATTGTCCACTAGATGGCAGTAGCTATTTATAAAACAATACCAGGGCAGGTGGGGGAAGTTGCTGGACCATTTTTTTCCCACAAAGGTTTGTGCCTTTTTTTTTTTTCAAACCTACCTTTATTGTTGAATGTATTATGGATGTCCCTACTTTTTCCCCCCTTGACCCTTTCTTCCGTATCCCACCTCCCTCCTGCTTTCCCCACACTATTGTCTGTGTCCATTGGTTATACACATAAGTTCTTTGGTTTCTCTTCCCGCCCACTTTCCCCCTTTCCTTTGAGGTTCATCAGTCTAACAACCAATTTGTACTTCCTAATCTCTTCATCTTTTTCGCCCAACTCCCCTCCCATCTGTCAACCAACAAAAAGAAAAAGTTCTCTATATCTATGAGTCTGTTTCTGTTCTGCTTGCTCATTTTGTTTGTAGATTCAATTGTTGATAGATATGTATTATTGTCATTTTATTCATATTTTTTTATCTTCTTTTCAAGACCCGTTAACATTTAATATAATACTGGTTTGGTGGCGATGAACTCCTTTAGCTTTTTCTTGTCTGGGAAACTTTTTATATGGCCATCGATTCTAAAGGATAGCTTTGCAAGATAGAGTAATCTTGGTTGTAGGTACTTGCTTTTCATCATTTTAAATAGTTCCTGCCACTCTGTCCTGGCCTGCAAAAGTTTTTTTTGAGAAATTGACTGATAGCTTTATGGGAGCTCCGTTGTAGGTAACTTAACTGCTTTTCTCTCGCTACTTTTAAGATTCTTTCTTTGTCTTTACCTTTAGCATATTGATGATGATGATGTGTCTTGGTGTGGGACTCTTTGGGTTCATCTTGTTTGGGACTCTCTCAGCTTTCTGGACTTGTATGTCTGTTTCTTTCACTAAGTTAGAGAAGTTTTCTGTTCTTTTTTTTATCCTCACCTGAGGATATTTTTCCATTTTTTGTACAGATAGACTGGGAGGGAGAGAGAGGGAGAGAGAGAAACATCGACGTGAAGGGACACATTGAGTGGCTGCCACCCGCACAACCAACCAGGGCCGGGGACAAACTGCAACCGAAGCACATGCCCTTAGCGGGAACCGAACCCAGGTCTCTCCGGAC